CCAAATCTCATCCCTGGATGTCGCTGGGCACGAAGCCCCCAAGCTGCTGCTGCTGCTGGGCCATGGTGGCAATTCAGGGGGCAAGTCAGGGATCCTGTCCCAGTCCGTTTGGGGAAAGTTTGGGGTGGTTTTGTCCCAACCAATCTGGGAGGGTTCCAGAGGTGCGAGGCGGGGCTGTGACCCCTCGGGCAGCTGCACACGTGAGCCGTGCCAGGGCAGGTACAACGTGTGCTCCTCCTTCCTACCCCCAGGACAGAGTCCGAGCGCCATGGAGGACCTGCTGGATGTGGAGAACAAGCGGATGGCCGACAGCCTGGCCAGCAAGGTCACCAGGCTGAAATCCGTGAGTGCCCCTGGGGGGCGGGGAAGGAGGGGCTCTGCTTACCTGGGGGTGCTGCAGGGGATCACAGAACCACGGAATGGTTTGGGCGGGAAGGGGCCTTAAAGCCCATCCAAGTCCCACCCCTTGCCGTGGGCAGGAACACCTTCCACTAGCCCAGGTTGTTCCAGCTTGGATTTGAACAATTCCAGGGATGGGGCAGCCGCAGCTTCTCTGGGCAACCTGTGCCAGTGCCCCAGCACCCTCACCTGTGCTCTGCAGAGGCTTCCTGAGCATTAACAACTCTTGGTTGGTGATACAGTGGTTTAATTTTCACTTGTGTAGTGCCAAGGACACCTTTACAAATTCCCACTTTCCCTTTGAGGTTTACGACGTCATCTGACGCTCAGGAAAAGGAGTTTTAGGCTCAGAGAGAAACATCAGAAAAGAAATATAAAACATATATAAAGCATAAACACCCCTGCACAGAGGGGTGTTGCCAAGCTCACCTTCTCAGGAGAAAAATTCACAATAAAAAGGCAAGGAGATTAATTTTGGAAAATACCTGTGTCTCTGTGCAAATGATCTTAAAACTGGTTTGCTCTTAATATCAAGTACTTTGATTTAGAGATTAGAGATTTAAACTGTTTTTTATTGTTATAAAAATTGTTATAGCATTATAATTATTCTAACAATTATTGTTATGTTATTATAAAATTGTTGTGACAATTATAACATCATTCTAAATTATTATTTAAAAAATAGTAGAAACCACGAAAGAAGTCAGTGACTCACAGTGTAGAAGGGCAGACTCTGAATTCCTGCCCTTGTATCCCAGGGATTAAACACCCTGACAGATTTAGACAGTCAGGCTTTACTTTCAGTGCTGCAGAGGTGGAGAAGTTCAACAACCCTACAGGGAAATGAGAATCATTTTCCTCGTTCCTGTCCCAGACAAGCCCCTGTGTGTCTGCAGGAGCCAGGAAAGCAGCAGGTTGCTTTGACAACTTTCATTTTAGAGGTTCTCCGTACACGACAAGCTCCTGAATTGCCCCTTCCCTCCCTTGTGTCTGCAGCTGGCTCTGGATATCGACAAGGATGCTGAGGAACAGAACCGCTACCTGGATGGCATGGTAAGGGCCTGGGGAGTGGGGCACAGGGCTTTCTGTGCTGCTGGGAAACCGGGATGGCAGCTCAGGCTGGCACACTAGGGTAGATCCCCGCGGTCCCCCATGCCAGGCAATTGTAACTAAATTGTAACTAAACCCGTTCCCAGCGGATTTACTGCTCTGTAAATGTTGGATAGCTGGCAGGTGCAGCATCACCTTGTCTGGGGTTGGTATCTGGCACGTGCAGGGCTGATGTGGGACAGCACACCTGGGAAATGCCAGTGGAGGTCCCTCCTCGCTGGGATTAAAGCTGCCTCCGGGCTGTTCCTCAGCTCTCCCTTGGTGTTTGGTGCTGCTGTATGAACCAATTCCTGAACTCCAGCACCTCCAGCAGGCTCCCTGTGGGGCCTTGTGGGACACTGGTGTCTTCAGAGGGAGCACAGGTGATGCTCGGGGTCCCACAGGCTGTTGGGTTTCCTGGTCTGCCACACAACTCCCAACAAATCAGGGAATTGGGATGAAAGGTGGGATGGCAAGAGCCCTTAAGGGAGAAGCCCTAAATGGGCACCAAACCGTGCTGCTCTTACAGAAGAGGTTTTGAGGCATTTCAGGAGCAACATGAGCAGAAGCTCCAGAAAGGTGGGAACGGTGCTGATCCTGGAGCACTGGAAGGGAAGGACCTTGAGAGAAAGAGGTGGCTGTTGTGCAGCTTCTGTGCGAATGTTTTTAGCCAGGAGGTGGGAGATTCCTCAAGGATTCCTTCATCTGTGGCAGAGTAGGATGGGCTTGATCCTAGGACCCGAGGGAATGGCTGGAGTTGTATTAGGCTGGGTATTAGGGTAAAATTCTTCCCCCAGAGGGTGGCTGGGCACTGGAACAGGCTCCCCAGGGCAGTGGTTGTAGCCACAAACCTGCCCGAGCTCAGGGACACGGTCGGGTTGTTGAGGTGTCCTGTGCAGGGCCAGGAGTCGGCCTGGATGACCCTTGTGGAATCCCTCCAACTCGGGATATTCCATGACTCTGCGATGCCTCCAGCTTGGCTGTCTGTGCCCTCCCCAGGACTCGGATTTCCTCAGTGTGACGGGGCTGCTGACGGGCAGCGTGAAGCGCTTCTCCACCATGGCGCGCTCCGGGCGGGACAACCGCCGGCTGCTCTGCGCCGTGTCCGTGGCACTCATCCTCATCTTCTTCATCCTCTACTACCTGGTATCCAGGGCGGGCACCTGAGCCGGGCTGGGCAGGTGTCACAGGGCCCCGAGCCGGGCAGGTGCCACAGGCCGGACCCGCGGCACCCACAGGCCTGTCCACACCTTCCTGGGAGGAGCCTCCAGCCAGACCTCCTCCTTCCAAGTGACTCTTCCTCCCACCAGCTCCTCGTGTCGCTCCGGCTGGGCCCAGACAGCTCTTCCAAAGCAAGAACATTTGTCTCCAGAGGGATCCCCGTGTCTAACAGGGGTTTGGGGCTGTGACCTCCTGCCTCGGGCTGTTCTCCAGGGCCACTTCCCCGTCACCTCCCTCACCGAGCCCGGGAACTGCTGAGGTGGGGCTCACAAATCCAGGGACTTGTTCATACTCTGAGGTTTTGTAAGCCAGCTGAACTTCGGGAGCTGTAGGGTTTAGGATGCTGATTTACAGGGTTTGGGAGTGCCAGTGTGTGATTTAACATTCCCTGTGGCTGCTCTCAGTTTCCCCGGGACTTGCAGAACTTATCCTTGGTGTCCCTGGGCTGAAAGGAAACCCGTGCTGCTTTGGGATGGAATTAGTGATGGATCTGAGCCTGGATACTCTCAGATCCTCTGCAGAGGAGCAGAACTTGGATTAAGTCCTGGCTTGGCCCTCTTTATCTTCCTTGGTCCAGTTAATTTTGGTTGTTGTGGAGCACTCTGGGGAGATGCTGTGCCAATGAAGCAGAGGTTGAGGTGAGGTGGAATTCCCCCACAGTGGGAGTCCAGGAGGGATTTGCTGATTTGTTTTATGAATTTAGAAGGTACCAGAGGAACCCCTGCCTTGCCTTGGGGGGTGTCTCTGCTTATTTGCCTCTCTCTCCCTGTAACAACCAGGGTCCAGCCGTTCCTCCTCCTCTGATTTAGTCTCTCTTTTGCCTCATCATGGGTGGCTGGGTGTTCCCTTTGCCTTCTCTCTCTTCCCATCGGGAATTCCTTTGTCCTGGAGCTAAGGCACCTGCGAAAGGAATGTTGTCCCTTGTACCAAACTGCTCACAAAACATACCTTGGCTGGATTAGGTGTGTTCTTTTCCACATTTGGGAAAAATCCTGCAGGGAAAGCAAGGAGAAAGGAGGTGGCAGGGGACTTCCTTTGGTTCTTCCTGCTTCCCTGGTGTGTGGCAGCTCCAGGCTCCTTCCCTTTGGGAAGAATCGATGGCCTCTAATTCCTGGAGCAGGCAACTCCTGACAAAAGGCTGCTGGAGCAGCCGGGGGGGGAGGGGTTGCTTTGCCTTTCGTGCTGTAAATAAAGCTGATTTTAGACCTTGTAGTCTGAGTGTTTGTTCCTCATACAAGGTTGATTGCCCTGGCTGTACCTGAGCCACCCCGGGGGTGGAGAGGGACCCTCCGGGGAGGTGGGGGGTCCTGCAGCCCTGTGACGCGCCCGGTGTCACGGGGAAACGAGGATGGGGGGGGACAGGGACACCGAGGCAGGTCTGGGGACAGACTGTGTCTGTCTCCGGTGTCACCAGATCTGCCCGCGGGGGACACGGGCCAGGGGTGGGGGTGCCACTGGCTGCTCACCCTCTGGGGGCTGGTGCCTCCATCCGTGTCTCCGTCCCCAGGGCGGTCCTTGTCCCCGGGCCGCCGCGGGTCCCGGTAACGGGGCCTTTGCCGGATGTTCCGCCATGTCCGGGCCGCGTCCCCGTCACCATGGCAACCGCCCGCCGCGCCGGAAGTGACGCAGCAGGAAGCGGCGGCCGGGGCGGAAGCGATGGCGGCGGTGGCTGCAGGTGACGGGGCCGGGAGCGGCGCCGGGGGCAGCCCCGAGGCCGCCACCGGAGGCACCGGGGGCGGCGGGTGGCGGCGTCCCCACGGGCCGCTCCAGCGCTACTACGGCCCGTCCGCGGCCGAGGCGGCCGAGGCGACTCCGGACCCCACCGACATCAACGGGCCCCACTTCGACCCGGAGGTGTTCATGACCAAGGTGACCTTTGACCCCGTGACCTTTAACCCTCCCGGACCCGGGGACCCCCCCCCGATGGACTCCCCCAGCGCCCCGAGGGGACCCCAGAAAGATCCTCTATGGGGACCCTATGGATCTGCCTCTATAGGAACCCTGTAGGACACTGTATGACTCCCTATAAAACTGGTACTGGGGTGCTCTGGAGCAGCAAGGGGAGGGGGTCTGGGGGCAATCAGAACCACGGCGGGGCAGCTGGGGATCCCAGGAGGGCCCTGCAGGGAAGTTGAGGACCTCGGGGCGGCAATTCGGGGGCTCCCGGGGGTAAATAGGGGGACTGCAGAGGGGACAGCGGGGTGTGGGACAGTTGAGCAGCTCTTTTCCCACCCCAGGTGCGTAGTGAGTGTCCCCTGGGGCAGCTCCTGGCCCGGGAGGCCGCGCTGGGGCGGGAGATCCGCGCCCTGGACAGCGACATGCAGACCCTGCTCTACGAGAACTACAACAAGTTCATCTCTGCCACCGGTGAGAGGCTCCACTGGAGCCTGCTGAGGGCAGCGTTGGGATATTGGGATGTTCACTCTAGAGCCTGCTGAGGGCAGCGCTGGGAAACGAGGGTTTGGGGACGTTCACTCTGCTGGCAGCCAGCCTGGTACCCAGCCTACTCTGGGGGGTGGCGTTTGGGGTACGTTCATCCCGGAGGGTCTGGGGGGTGGCAGGCAGCCGAGGGACCCAGCACTTGTCTCCTGCCCCCCCCCCCCAGACACCATCCGGAAGATGAAGGTGGATTTCCGGCACATGGAAGCAGAGATGGACGACCTGGCGGCCAACATGGCAGCCATCAGCGCCTCGAGCGCCCGCGTCAGCGCCGCGCTGCAGGACCGGCACCGCCGCGGCGCCCAGCTGGCCGGTACGGGGCGGGGGGAACGGGTGGCCCTGGGGGGCAGACCCGGCCCTCCCGGCCCCGTCTCCCTGAGCCCCGTGTCTCCCCAGGGGTGCAGGCACTGCTGCGGAAGCTGCAGGCGCTGGTGGAGGTGCCGGGGCGGCTGCGGCGCTGGGCGGGCACGGAGCCGGCGCGGGCCCTGCGCTGCTACGGCCGCGCCCGCGCCGTGCTCCGGCACTACCGACACCTGCCCTCCTTCCGTGCCATCGAGGACGAGAGCCACGCCATCATGGCAGAGCTGGCCCAGCGCCTCCGCGCACGCCTCCGGTACGTCCGTTCGGGAGCCTGATGGGGGCTGGGAATGGGGGTCTGGGGGTGTTCAGTGTGGAGCCTGCTGAGGGCTGGGAATGGGGGCCTGTGGGTGTTCACTGTGGAGCCTACTGAGGGCTGGGAATGGGGGTCTGGGGGTGTTCACTCTGGAGCCTGCTGAGGGCTGGGAATGGGGGTCTGGGGGTGTTCACTCTGGAGCCTGCTGAGGGCTGGGAATGGGGGCCTGGGAGTGTTCACTCTGAAGCCTGCTGATGGCAGCCTCAGGAAATTGGGGTCTGGGGGTGTTCACTCTGAGCCTACCGATGGCAGCCCTGGGAAATGGAGCCTACCGATGAACTTCAGGGAGTCCCTTATTAACCTCTGTTACTGTTGGAACTCCCTGGTGCTGTTAAGTGGTTTTCCCCCTTTATTTTTTGACCAACTACTGTTCACTCTGGGGCCTACCGATGACTTTTATCGCTTATTCCCCGTTTCCCACTGTGCCCGCCCTTAACCCTGGCACCTCCCACACCCACCCACCTGCCCCAGGGAGGAGACGCTGGACCCCAAGGAACTCACCGAGTGCGTGGAGATGCTGCTGCAGCTGGAGGAGCCTCCCGAGGAGCTGAGCGAGGAGTTCCTGAGCCAGGCGGGCGCGCGCCTGGAGGCCGAGCTGGCCGCGCTGGAGGCCGAGCTGCCCGCCTCCGACCCCTCCGGCGCGGCCACCACGCCGCCGCCCGCCTCCGACATCCTGGACTTCGTGGACCGCGGCAGCTCGGCCTTCGTGGGCACGCTGTGCCAGCTGGCCGGCTCGTACCGCGCGCTCTTCGGGGGGGACGCGGGGCGCCTGGAGCCCTTTGCCGCCGCGCTGGCCACGCGCTACTTCGAGCTGCTGGAGCGGCGGCTGGCGCTGGAGCGCGGCCTGGGCGACACCTCGCTGCTGGTGCGGGCGCTGGACCGGTTCCACCGCCGGCTGCGGGCGCTGCTGGAGCTGCTGCCCGAGGGCGCCGCCGCCGCCGCCGCGCTGGTGGCCCGGGCCGCCCGCGAGCGCGTCGACCGCTACCTGCGCGCCCTGCAGACCTTCTTCCTGGGCTGCCTGGGCGACGTGCGCCAGGCGCTGGCAGCGCCGCGGCCCCCCGGCAAGGAGGGGCCCGGCCTGCCCGACCTGCTGGCCACGCTGGCCGCCTCCGTGCTGGGCCAGCTCAAGGCCGTGCTGGCCTACGTGCAGCTCTTCACCGCCAGGGACGTTGCCTTCGCCAGCCTGCCCTACTTCAAGGTGGGGCACCGCGGGAAGGGGCGCTTTGGGGATGACTTGGGGCTGCTGTGGTACAGGGTGGGGGAGCCAAAGGTAGTCAGGGGATCTCTGGAACAATCTGGGGCTGGCATGGGGCATTTTGGGGGTGGAACAGGCTGGGGGTCACTCAGTGACCGGTTTGGAGCCTGCATGGGGCAGTTTGGGGGGCTTTGTTAAGAGTGTGACCCCCCCCATTTGTGGCACAGGGGGAGTTCTGTGTGGCAGCAGTGCGTGAGGGGCTGGTGGTGGCCTTTGTGCGCTGGCTGTGCCGCACTGCCCGTGGCTTTGCTGACGGCCCAGCCGAGCGGGGGGCCCCCGCTGCCCCCCCAGCCCTGCTGCTGCTCCTCGCCCGCCTCTGCCTGGACTACGAGAACTCCACCATCAGCTACATCCTCACCCTCACTGATGAGCAGTTCCCACCCCAGGTGAGCCCCAGAATGTCCCTAAGGGGACTCTGAATGTCCCCAAGGTGTCACAGATTGGCTCTGCACCCCTCTGTGTCCCAGCCCCAGGCACCACAGCATGGGCACATTCCTTCTGTCTCTGTCCCCAAAACCAGCCCTGAGTAGACCCAAAATGCTCTGATTAGCCCCAAAATAGCCCCTATGTGACCTCACATGGCCCCTCTGTGGCCCTGTGCCCACCCAGGGGATGGTGGTGGGGACAGTGCCCTGTGTGGGGGTTTTGGGATCTTCCCTTTTGTCTTTATGTACCTCCAAATATCCCCAAGGGATCTCAGGACATCCCCAAGACACCCTCCCTGTTCCCTGCCATCACCCGTGTCCATCCAGGAGGTGACCCCGGGGATGTCACTGCCCGTGGAGACAGGAGGGTCCTGACCTGTGCGGTGCCTCCCAAACATCCCTAAAGGAGCACCTCGGGATGTCCCCAGGGGGGTTCTGCATGTCCCAGGGTGCCCCCGATACCCCACGAACGTGACAGGGGCAGTGATGCTGCTGCAGCCACACGGGGCTGGCAGGGGAGGTGCGGGGGTCCGTTCCTTCCTACCTGTCGCTGTGCCCCCAGGACTCGGGCCCGGCGGTGACCCCGGGGCCGGCGCTGTGCGCGGAGGCGCGGGCGGCGGCGCAGCGGCTGCTGGATCACTACGTGCAGGTGCAGGGCGCGGCCGTGGCGCAGATGCTGCGCAAGAGCGTCGAGACGCGCGACTGGCTGGGCACCGTCGAGCCCCGCAACGTCCGCGCCGTCATGAAGCGCGTGGTGGAGGACATCACCGCCATCGACGTCCAGGTCGGGCTGGCGGCCCCTGGAGGGGTCCCCATAAGGTCCTTGAGGGCTTTGGGATGGTCCCTTTGGGTGGGAAGTTGCCAGCAGCTTCCGGATGTTCCAGAGGGTCTGGGTTAGGGGGGAGCTGAAGTCCCTGAAGCGTCCAGAAGGTTTGCGCGAGGTCTCAGTCTGGTCCTTGAGGATCTTTGGGGATCCCAGAAGGTTTTGGGAGGGTCGCAGAGGGTTTGAGGGATGCTGGGTGGTTTGGGGGGGTCCCAGCAGGGGGTTTGGGGTGCTGAGGGTGTGGTACCACACACAGGTGGGGCAGCTCTTCGAGGAGGGGGTGCGGCGGGCGCAGAGCAGCGATTCCAGCCGACGTGCCTTCTCCGTCTACAGCAGCTCGCGGGCACCCGGCCGCTATGCCCCGAGCTACACCCCCAGGTCAGCCCCGGCACCCCCTGTGCCGCTCCTGCAGTACCCATCGCATCTTCCCTGGCACTCTCTTCACACCCCTAGACTGTCCTAATATCCACCTGACAGCCCTTGGCTGTCCCCATGTCCCCAAACTGTCGTAATGACGATCCCTGTCTATCCCAACAATCCCCATGTTCCCCCCAGCTGTCCCAGTATCCCCTGGTGATCCCCATATCCCTTGTGTCCCAC